AAGATCTGAAATCAGTGACCCCCAAAAGAAGAGCAAGTTAAAGTAAGCAGAAGAAAGAAAATAATAAAGGTCAAAGCAGAATCCAGTGGAATAAATAGAAAAGCAATAGAGGAGATCATTGAAATCAGAAGAAAACAAATGATCGGGCTTGGTGGCTCAGCCTGTAATCCCAGCACTTTGGGAGGCGAGTGGATTGCCTGAACCCGTGGGTTTGAGACCAGTCTGGGCAACTTGGCGAGATTTCGTCTCTACAATAAATCAAAAAAATTAGCCGGGTGTGGTAGTGCTCGCCTGTCATTCCAACTACTTGGAAGGCTGAGGTAAAAGGATTGCCAGAGCCCAGCAGGTCGATGCTGGGGTAACTGAGTGTACCGCTGCACTCCAGCCTGGGTGATAGAAGACTCCACCTCAAAAAAAAAAAAAAGAAAACAATTATTGACAACTAACACTCCATAATTTTAAGAATTATTATAAAGCTAACAGTAATCAAGATAACATAGCATTAGCATAAAGATAGACAAATAGATCAGTGGTATATAATAGAGAGTTCTGAAATAAGTCCTGAAACACATGAGGAAGGTAGATTTTTGACAAAGATGTAAAGAAAGCGTGGCAAAGAGAAGATAGTCTTTTTTTTGAGTTGGAGTCTCACTCTGTCGCCCAGGCTGGAGTGCTAGAGTGCAGTGGCACACTCATGGCCACCCCAGCATTGACCTACTGGGCCCAGAGATCCTTCCACCTCAGCCTTCCAAGTAGCCGGAACTACTGTCATGTCCTACCATGCCTAACTAATTTTTTGATTTATTGTAGAGACAAGGTCTCACCAAGTTGTTCAGGCTGATCTTGAACACCTGGACTCACGGAGTCCTCTCACCTCGGCCTCCCAAAGTGCTGGGATTATAGGCTTGAGCCACCACATCCAGCCTAGGAGGATAGTCTTTTTAACAAAGACTTTAATATTTTAATATCCATATGCAAAAAAGTGAACATGGATCTATATCTAACATCATACACATAAAAGAACCCCAAATTAATCGTAGACCTAAGCTTAAGTCCCAAAACTATAAAGTTTACAGAAGAAATAATGTGATTTTGAATTAGGCAGTGATATTTTAGATATAACCCAAAAGCACAGTCTATGAAAGAACAAGTTTATAAATTAAACTATATGAAAGTTATAGACATTCCATTTTGACTATACACAGTTAAGGGAATAAAAAGTCAGATTGAGAATCATTGCAGAAGATTGACCTGATTGTAGGCTTGTGTCTAGAATATTGAAGGAACTCTCAAAATGTAATTAAACAACCTCCCCTCTACAAATAAGGATATGTCAGATGCCTCAATAAAGAAGATAGTTAGATGACTCTGTAAGATGTTTAATGTTATTATTTAGGGAAATAGAAGTTTAGCCACCATACACTATCACTACTATCTGTTAGATTAGCTAAACTTAAAAATATAATACCAAATGTTGACAAGGATATGGGGAAATCTGAAGTCTCATACATTTCTGTTTGGAATGTAAAATGTACAACCACTTTCATAAACCATTTGGTGATAACTTAAAAAGTTACTCACTGCGTGACCCAGCTAACTCATTCCTAGGTATCTACTCAAGAGAAAAGGAATAATATGTCCGGTCAAAAACTTGTACACAAATATTCATAGCACACTTACTTGTCAAATGAAGCTAAATACAATCAACCTTCATTTCCATCAACAGATGAATGGATAAACAAATTTTGGTTTGTTTATATGGAATACCATTCAGCAATAAAAAGAAATAAACTGTGGATACATGCAACAACATGGATGCTCTTAAATTCATTATTTTTCGTGAAAAACCAGACAATAAAGAGTAATTATGCATGATTCTACTTAATATAAAACTCTAGAAAATGCAAAGTAATCTATAGTAATAGAGTACAGATGTGTGGTGGATTTAATACAGGGAAACAGACAGAGCTGGCAGAGATTACAGGAGGAAGGGATTGCAAAAGGCAAAAGAAACTTTGGGAAATAGTGGATATATTTAGTAGCTCGATTGTGGTGATATCAAAACTTAACTACACTATACACTTCTAATATGTTTCAGTTGCACTTTAATAAAGTTGTTAAATAATAAAAAAAACAAAAACAAAAACTCCATTGATCTGTCTTGTACTTTGAATGGATATTTTGCCCATTCATGATTTTGTAACATGTGCATTGATCATTTGGAAAATAATGATTTACTAAATACATAATTGATATATTTTATTATGCAGTATTAAATATTCACATACATTGATATCACCATCTTCATCAGAAAAGACTTGAAGTATTGGAAAGCTTTTAAACTCATGGTACATTTTCCAGAATTACTAATTTTCATTTGAAAGTTTGTGTTTTATCATTGGCAGCACATATTGGCAGTTGTTTTTCTAAGTTTTTTTGTTCAGAAAATGTCTGCCAGGTATTCACAGTTGCATAACTACTGTTTGTCTGTTCTTTTTTCACTTTGGTATTTTATGAGAAATAGTGACTAATTCAAATTGCCATTTAGTTAAAACAAATGATTTCCCTGAGACAACCATTGTACATAACTCCACAGCACAAGTATTTTATCTGTATTTCCCATTTTATGACACCTAGGAGTTGAGGTTTAATAGCTAATCATTTTTATTATTTTGTTAAATAAATTCTTGACATTGGCTTTTTATTTTTAATGTGAAAGTGTGTGGTAGGGAATCATATGACTACTGGTACATTTTTATCTACCATCGCTTTATTGCTTTTGCACCGTTAGCGCAAATGTCAACAGTGGAAAAGACCGATAACATTATTTTTATGAAAATGGTTTTGACTTTGTGGATCCCTCAAAGAATCAGAGGGACTGCCTCCCATGGGTATAAAATTTAAAGAACCTCTGACATAGACTAACCTTGATGAAGAATATTATACTTTGGTACCACTGATGAGTCAAACTGAATATTGCTGGTAGAATGACAAGGATTTTCACCTTTGAATTTTAAGTGTGTTTTAGTTATAGCTTTGTTCCAGATCTGCTGTGTGATCTGAAACAATGAATTCACCTGTATTGTTATTACAGCAGCTAATATCTGCTGAGTATTTGTGCCAGGCAGTAAGTTACATATATCATTTTGCTATCACTAAAACCTTGAGAACTAAAAGTTCTGTTACCACTCTCATTTCACAGATGGGAATTCAGTGGCTTAGTTAAGTAATTCACTCATGTTCAGCACTGGAACTAAAAAATCGGGGTTAAACAGATGTACTTTGTTCTTAACTACCAACCTCTTTTTGATGCCTGAAATCAGCCCTGGTGGTTGTTGATCCAGGTCTAAATTATAAATAACTCAGTTATCATAGGATTTTATTAGTATCCCTGTTACTACTTTTCTTTTTAAGAGACTGGTTCTCTCTCTGTCACTCAGACTGAAGTGTAGTGGTATGACCATAGCTTACTGCAGCCTCAAACTCCTGTGCTCGAGATCCTCCTGCCTCAGCTTCCCAAGTATGAAAACTACAGGCACTTGCCATCATGCCTGGCTAAATTTTTAAAATAAATTTATAGAGGCGGGTCTCACTATGTTGTCCTGGCTGGTTGCAAGCTCCTGGCCTCAAGGATCCTCCCATCTCAGCCTCCCAGAGTGTTAGGATTATAGGCATGAGCCAAAGTATCTGGTCCCATTTTAAAATTGAGTAGCTTAGCTGGGCTCAGTGGCTCAGCCTGTAATCCTGCGCTTTGGGAGGCTGAGGTGAGTGGATTGCCTGAGCCTGTGGGTTTGAGACCCGCCTGGGCAACTTGGCAAGACAATAAATCAAAAAATTAGCTGGGTGTGGTGGCACATGCCTGTAGTTCCAGCTACTTGGAGGACTGAGCGGAAGGATCGCTGGAGCCCAGCAGGTAAAGGCTGCAGTGGCTGGTAGCGGCCACTGCACTCCAGTCTGGGCAACAGAGTGAGACTCCAACTCAAAAAAAATAAAATAATTAAATAAATAAAATAAAATGAAATTGAGTAGCTTGTGTTTCTATCGTTGACTTTTAAGAATTCTTTATATGTTTTGTATACAAAACCTTTATTAGATATATGATTTGCAAATAACTTCTTTCATTTAGTAGATTGTCTTTTTACTTTCTTGATAATGTTCTTTAGTACACAAAAGTTTATAGGCTTTATCTTTTTTGTAGAACCTGAAATTTTTATATGATACGGGAATCAGAATATATTAGATTTTCCAGTGTGTACTTATTTTCTATTAGAAACTTTAGTAGCCTTGAATTTCTGAACATACAAGTTGCTTTATTATAATTTGTATTGGAAAAATGTAGTAGAGTATTTCAAGATTTATATTCTAAAATTGTATGTTGATAGCCCTCAAAGTATAATAGAAATGAAAGAATATATGTGAGGAAATATAAGTAATATAAGGAAAAAATATTGCATAGGTAAAACAGGTAAAAGCAGGTGATCTTCCACCTCAGCCTCCCAAGTAACTTGGACTGTAGGCAGGCACACATCTGGCTAATTTTTTTGATTTTTTTTTTATAGAGATGAAATCTTGTTTTGTTTAACAAACTGGTCTTGAACCTCTGGCCTCAAGCGATGCTCCCACCTCATCCTCCCAAAGTACTGGAATTATATGTATGAGCCACTGTGTCTGGGCCCCAAAAGCAATTTTAAAGTACTTGTTTATACAGAATTATTTATTTTTGAGGTACTGTTTTATAACTCTAAACAGCATGTTTATTTTTATACTGAGAACATTTTTATCAGAACAAAAGGATCTAGTGCCAGTTATGTTTTGGTGGCCCTTTCAAAATACTACTGTTTTTGTAAATGATACAATCCTTTCTAAAAGAAATTTAACTGCATATATCAATATGTTTTTTCTTGAGTAATTACTTAATGACTTTACTTAATGTGTGGATGAATCTGTCTTTTATTCTTACTTTATTAATTCTATAGTAATGATCTGTTTTTCAATTTTAGATATGAATATCGTGTAGAGATGGTTCATCAGTCCTGCAATGATCCTACAAAAAATATCATTCGAGAATTTGCATCTGATTTTGAAGTTGGAGAATGCTGGGGTTATAATAGATTTTTCCGTTTGGACTTACTAGCAAATGAAGGATACTTGAATCGGCAAAATGATACAGTGATTTTAAGGTAATATGAAATACTTCATATTGTGGCTTTTATAATGGTGCAGTAATATCATTAGAACTTTATTTCAAAATCCATTCAGTTAAAAAAAGATGAATATTAAAATTTATACTAACTATAACCGTATCATTTTTTTGTCTGTTTCATTTCAGGAGTCCCTTGTAGTCAGTGGATAATAAAAGTCAAAAATTTTCTTGACATCTAGCTAGTGAATCCATTTAAAAGGAAACTAAGCTGGGCATACCTGTAGTTTCAGCTACTCTAGAAGCTGAGGTGGGAGGATTGCTTGAGCCCAGGATTTTGAGACCAACCTGGGAAACATAGTGAGACTCTTTTGCGTAAAAAAAAAAGAACACTATAACTACCAATAAATGTAATAATGTCTCATTTATTTATTGAACTTCTAGCAGCCTCAACATTTGAAAATCTAAGAATAGTGCAGGATCAAGTGCTGATTTTTTTTTTTTTTACTTGACAGCATATATTATACTAGGGGGACCCCTAAAAAATTGGAATTAAAAAAAAATTGTGTACTTATTCTTACATGTTTAAATTTCAGTCACTTTCAAAGTATTCTCTGTTTGATGCAGTATACCTATTGAGATACTTTTTCCACTGCTCAAAAGAGTATTGAGAACTTGTCAATTTGAATGCCTTTTAGTGCTTCTGCCATTTTTTGGTTTCACCTCTTCCACATTGGCAAAACGTTTCCCTTTGGGGACTTGTTTTATCCAGGGAAACAAAAAAAAGTCACTCGAGGTGCGATCAGGTGAATAGGGAGGGTGGGGCATGGGGGCCATGTCATATTTGGTCAAAAACTGCTGAATACTCAGCTTGGTGTGGACAGGTATGCTCGTAAATCACCTATCATGAAATGGACAAACACATTGAAAGCATTTCCAAAAAAAAATTCACTGAAGTTGAAGGCAGCCTCTTACAATGCTAGCTGGTACGCTGATGCTGATGAATTTCACTGATGCAGGAGGAAACCTGTACTACAAGAGATCTGCCCTCCAAAAGATAATCCCAATTTTTGAGGGGTTCCCCCTTATATCTCGGTTTTACAACTTATTTTATAAAACAACTATCAGTTCTTTCTAGATAACAGCAAATTGAAAGTAGGAATAGAGGTGAAAATTGATGAAAGCCAACAATTTTCACTGTTTTTGTGTTATTTGCAAGAAAGGACAAAACATAAACACTGACTTTAGAACAACAGCTATATTTAATGTTGGTGTAGTCTTTACAAGTCAAAAATTTGGGGGCATCATTACATGATGTTATAATTTGATGGTAAAAATGATAACTATCTAAAAAGAATGAAATATATTCTGAACTAAGAAGTTTCAGATATTTAACAGTTTAAAAAATTTTCATCAAAAGGGTTGTAAAAGTTTTTTCTTGGGAGTGATCTATGTACTTCTTAATTTCACTTATTTTGAGCTTATTTTCTCTTAGCATACCAGATAAGCATAGTATTTATGATTATGTTTACTATTATGTTTTTCATAGCTTTTCTGAGAAGTGAAAAGGATAAGATTTTCACTGTAGAAAAAAACATTCTTCATTTTTGTCTTTTTTGTTTGTTTGTTTAGAAATGGGGTCTGGCTTTGTTACCTAGGCTGGTCTTGAACTCCTGGCCTTTCAAGCAATGCTCCTGCATCATTCCAAAGTGTTGCGATTACAGGCGTGAGCCACTGTCCCCAGTCTGTCTTTTTAATTTTTTTTTTTTTTTTTTTT